GCCATTCCTCGACGCGCCTATCTCCCAAAGCGGCCTGTTCGGACCAGTGGTGAAGGAGTTCGCTGAGCGCTTCACCGAAGCCCGTAAGGATTCGCAGGCTATGCGTCACTTTCTGCCCAAGCGATCTAGCTCATCGCAGAGCCGCCAAAGGCCGCCTCAGCAGCAGCGAGCTAAGACGGCGCCTCCCGTCTCTCAGCCCAGATCTGAAACTGACTTTCGTCGCCGCTCGCGCTCTGCCAACAGGAAGCAACCGCCCGAGCGACGGGGACCTCGGCACAAGATTGTGCTGAACCCAGAGCCTCGTAAGTCCTCCTAGCTACAGGGAGAAAAAGGGAGAGCGCGTGTCTCGCAAAAGCCGGACCGTTCTCTCCAAAACGTTTAAAACATTACCCAGTCCCCTTACAGGCGGCTGGAAATGTCTGTACAGCAGCCAATGTGCCAGCCACACAGCTCGCTCACCTGCAAACAAATGCCGTTTTTACGGCGACACACAGAAATCACATAAAGAGCCATTTTCAGCCTGTGTCATTAAAGGGTCACGTGTCCACACCAAAGTGCGCATTCCCACATATCAAAACTGTCAAAGCAGTGCCAAATGCTTTCCCAGCTCAGGCTGGACGCCCCATAAATGTAGATTGTGTGCCAACTGTCACGTATGCACCACTACACATAAGCACTGTTCCCACAGTTATAAACACTTCCCCAGTAAAAGCGGGAAATTCTATAAGAGTAGCGCGTGTGCCCGCTGTTATGCACGCACCCCAACTCACAAACACTGTTTATATGGCCAAAAACCTCCCGCCACGAGCGGGAAGTTTTATGAAAGTGGTGCGCGTGCCTACCACAGTCTGTGCACCCCCACTCATAAGCACTGTCCATACAGTCTTAAACATTTCCCCATCTCACACTATGAGTTTTATGGCGAGCGTGCCTGTAATCTCACACGCACCCCTGCACTCGGCATTCAACAAAGCTGCTCAGCGCGCGCCCGCGTATTAGCACAAGGCGATTTGCCGGCGGCAGCCATACGTCACTGCGACACGCCCCCAGCCAGCATTCAGCCCATATCTGTGCGAGCGAAAGCTTGGGAAAATATCCCCGGCATGCCGAAATGGGTTTTGAACATAATAAAACACGGTTACTCGCTTCAATTCGCTCGCAGACCGCCCCGCTTCACAGCAGTGGTCGAGACGAAAGTGAGAAAAGATGTTTCACATGTTCTACGCACCGAGGTGCTCAAACTGATAGAGAAAGGCGCTATAGAAACAGTCCCTCCCTCTATGAGCGAGGCAGGTTTTTACAGTCGATATTTTCTCGTCCCGAAGAAGGATGGTGGTCTCCGCCCCATTCTAGATCTCAGACATCTGAACAAAGCTTTAATGATTCGCTCGTTCAGAATGTTAACAACCAAGCATATCCTCGCGCAAGTTCGCCCGGGGGATTGGTTTCTATCAGTGGATCTGAAAGACGCTTACTTTCACATTCCGATTTTCCGATTTCTGAGATTCGCTTTCGAGGGACAGTCATACCAGTACACAGTACTACCATTCGGCCTGTCACTGGCACCCCGTACATTCACGAAATGTATGGATGCAGCACTTTCCCCCCTGAGGCAGCGGGGAGTGCGAATACTAAATTATCTCGACGATTGGCTAGTCCTAGCACAATCAGAGAGCCAGTTAGTGACACACAGGTCTTGGATTATCAGTCATCTAAAATGCCTGGGTCTAAGAATCAATTTTGCAAAGAGCATGCTATCCCCCAGCCAGAATATTCCTTTTCTGGGAATAGTGCTAGACTCAGTGCAGATGACGGCGCGCCTCTCATCAGAGCGCGCGCTCACTATCCGGCGCCTTGCAACATCGTTCAGAGCGGGCGCGCGCGCCCCCGTCAAGCGATTTCAAAGGATGCTCGGTCTCATGGCCTCGGCATCAGCTGTACTCCAGCTAGGTTTGTTGCACATGCGTCCTCTCCAACGCTGGCTCAAAAGCCGTGTCCCCACTCACGCGTGGCGCTCGGGCCACTTTTTAATCAGAGCAAATCACGGCTGCGTAAAAGCCCTGACGCCCTGGAAAGCTGTCGACTGGTATCAGTCCGGTGTGAGTTTGGGCGTGAACACAAGGAGAAAAATGATCACAACAGATGCCTCCAAAATAGGTTGGGGGGCCCTTTACGAGGGCAGGCCTGTCTCCAGCTTGTGGTCAAACCCGGAGAAGCGCCTACATATGAACTGTCTGGAATTGAAAGTGGTCGCTTTGTCTCTCAGAGCCCTGCTTCCGTACCTGAAGGACGAGCACGTCATAGTCCGAACGGACAACATGACGGTAGTCTCGTATATAAATCGTCAGGGTGGACTCAGATCGAGCTCCCTGCACTCGTTAGCCAGGGAGCTCCTCCTATGGTCCCCGCGCAACCTGCGCTCGCTGAGAGCAGCGCATGTGCCAGGTGTTCTGAACCAGGGAGCGGACATGCTGTCCAGAGACAAAGTTCTCCCAGGAGAATGGTCTCTCCACCCCCTGACGATTCAGTGGTTATGGCAAACCTTTGGCAGAGCAGAGGTCGACCTCTTTGCCTCCAAGGAAAATGCGCACTGCCCTCTCTTCTTTTCAAAGAGCACAGACGCGCTCGCCCAAATCTGGCCGAGCCGCCCGCTGTATGCCTTCCCTCCGCTCGCGATGCTACCTCAGGTCATCAGTCGGATCAGGGAGTAGAAATGTGCAGTGCTCCTGGTAGCCCCACTCTGGAAGAACCAGACGTGGTTTCCAGAACTGATGCAGATGATGCAATCTGCTCCATGGCCGATTCCGCTGAGGCTGGACCTCCTCAGGCAGGCCAACGTTATGATCCTCCATCCCCGCCCCGATCTGTGGGCCCTCCATGCATGGCCCCTCAACGGGTTCCCGGGAACCTCCCCAGTGGAGTGTTGGGAACCATCACTGAGGCGCGAGCGCCCTCCACGAGGCGCTTATATGCCCAGAAATGGAAGGTGTTCAGTGACTGGTGTAAATCCAGGAACCTGAACCCTGAGACATGCGAAGTACCGAGTGTGCTCGTTTTCTTACAAGAGCTGTTGGAGGCAGGCCGCACCCCCTCCACGCTCAAAGTATATGTGGCTGCCATAGCGGCATCACACGACCCCGTAGAAGGACGCACACTAGGGAAAAACTACCTAGTTGTTCGTTTCCTGAGGGGCGCCAGGAGGCTAAATCCCCCACGCCCCCCTCAGTGCCGATCTGGGACCTGGCCACGGTCCTGGACGCACTCAAAAGTGCCCCGTTCGAACCCCTCCAAACTGTGCACCTTAAACAGCTCTCGCTCAAAACTGCTCTCTTGCTGGCTCTCGCCTCGGTCAAAAGAGTGGGCGACCTGCACGCGCTGTCATCAAGCGCTGCCTGCCTGGAGTTTGGACCTAACGACAGCGGAGTTGTCCTCAGGCCAAAACACGGGTATATTCCTAAGGTGCTCTCTACACCCTTCAGAGCACAGGTGATATCTTTGGCCTCCATCGTCTCCAGCGGACGAAAGCGACGCTAATTTACTCTGCCCGGTCAGGGCGCTCAGAGTATATTTGGAACGTTCTGCCCTGTTCAGACAGACAGAGCAATTGTTTGTATGCTTTGGCGGCCGCACCAAAGGTCTCGCTGTTTCAAAGCAGAGAATATCGCGCTGGATTGTTGATGCTATAGCGCTGGCTTATGAAGCCAAGGGCCTTCAGTGCCCCTTGGGAATCAGAGCTCACTCTACGAGAGGCATGGCCTCCTCGTGGGCGTGGTCAAGTAGGATACCCATTCAAGATATTTGTGCGGCAGCAGGCTGGGCCTCACCGTCAACATTTATCAGGTTTTATAACCTACAGGTCCCCTCATTGCACTCCAACATACTGTCGGTCTAGCTATGCATAGGCTGGAGTGTGTACATGCTGAACATTATCTCCTCCCTTATAGGGTCCATCTCTGGCTGACTTAGAGGATTTTTCATGCATATCAGTACATAAAAATGTGCTTGTGTGTTTCTCTGGACGCCCATTGGGCCGTTCCACATTGTCCCTTATAAAGCCCGCCTTCGGCCGGCTCGTTGGATAATTACTTTGCTTAAAGGCTCAGGCATCTGGCTCCGGCTTAATAGAGCGAAGTCAGCACGCACGGCGTTTTACATGGTGTTCCCATAGCGTAAGCTACTTACGCAATAGGAGGAACCTCTCGAAAGGGAACGACTCGGTTACTAACGTAACCTCGGTTCCCTGAGAGGAGGGAACAAGTATTGCGTAAGCTGCCGTGCTTGTGCTTGGTCAGTTCGCTTCAGTCGATTGAACCTAAAGAACTCAGACGACGGGGCGCCCAATATATAGCCCTTGGCCACGCCCATCTTGGCGGGCTCTGACACGCGCGGACGCGAAGCACGCTCATTGGAAGCGGGTTCAGATTCGCCCCGTCATAGGTTCGTGCAGTTGCCGCAGCACAGCCAATGACCGAGCTGCCTCGCTCATTGCTGTATGCTGTGCTGCTGCAATGCGTTTTACATAAAGACTTCAATATTTCTCGAGAAAAGGAGTTTTCCCATAACGTAAGCTACTTACGCAATACTCGTTCCCTCCTCTCAGGGAACCGAGGTTACGTTAGTAACCGAGTCGTTTGTTATAGTGCTTTCTAAATACAGCAAATCACTTCCTGCCCTCCATTTGCATTTCGCGCCATGGCAACGCAGTGGCGTGACGTCATATGAAAACAAGCTATTGAGTGGTGGAATATACTATGGGAATATAGAGTAAGAAAGCCCTATGACCAGTGCTTTTGGAAGAACAAAAGAGTGTTGCATGTCTGTGAATTGGAAAATTACAAAGAGAACTAATAAAGATACTCTCTGTTATCTCTTGATGTGCTCAAAATCTTAGATGTTTAAATCTGTATTTGACGTTTTCTTATTGCTGGCAATAGCTCAAGAATATTATTTTGTTGTTCATGTATTCGATTGCAATTTTTTTAAAAAGACACCTAAAACAATTGAGAATATAGATATTTATTAATTTGAACATAAGCAAGTGTCAATTTACAAACATGTGGAGTATAATGATAATAAATAATTTGTGAAGTAATGTTAATAAATAATTTGTGGTCAATATGTAATTTACAAACCAATTCATATTAATGCAATGTCATAATGAACAATAATAAAACACAAAGACACCTGAAGAGCACTAACAAAGTAAAACCTGTAAAATTATATAGTTCTACACTATATTCTTATTTTGCTACCTTCATTATTTTAATAATATATCTGAAGGGTAGCAGGGCATTTCTGAAGTTTCACTGCTTCTCTTCATCATGTAATGAAACATATGGTCGGACAATGTTTGTCACACATCTGAGATACAGAATATATGCACAATTGTACTACTGCTAAATTGTATGGTATAAATAGAACTCTATTTGCAACTAAATTGAGCTTAATACATCAAGACTGGATATTTTGAAAGCATCAAAGCAACAAATATATTCAATATGTCAAACAGAGCCACCCTACTTGTGTTAAATTCCATGCGTTTAGAAAATCACACTAAATATCAAATGATGACCGGATCTGAGGTCTGTCCATTTTCATCTGTTAAGAGCAAAAGACATAATGAGGAATTTTCTAAAAACAATGATAGTGATGCTACAATGCTTACAGATAAAACAGTACAAGAAAAATGTACTGGCTGTTTGTAACAGGTACCTTCTGTGGACATACATATGTGTGGCTGCACATAGTTTTAGATTTGTTTACTTTATACCGACTGTTTGTATGAACAACATATGCTGATACATGTTTATCTGTGTATCCTGTCAGTACTCACAGGCTGATCTCTCTGAAGATAGCGGAGATGAATATCAGGATCAGGTGAGAAATTCTGGGTGTAGAATCGATCTGCAGAGAAATCTGGTTTTCCAAAACTGTCCTGCTTACGTGAGTATACAGGATTATCATACGTGCCATCTGGAAATACAAAAAAGGTAAGTTGACTAATCAGAGGTTAAAAATGTATAATTTTATATTCAAACTTGGGGGGGGGGGGCGGCGGGGGGGGGGATCTTCTATACACAACGTTAGTTTATTTTAGATCAGACTACAGTGCTCTTATTGCACAGGAAGGCAAAATGAAAACATTTATTTGTAGTGGTGTAGTGATCTTTAATTCTCCGTATAGGTTATGGGTATAAATTAGTGATTTATGCTGTGCAAATGATGTACACTCGCTAATATTATATTTCACATAATGCATGCATTCGGAACGAGACTGAGCCTTTCTTTTTGAGTTGCTCTCAATTTTGTGCTAGTAGCAAAAAAAATCTGTATCTGAAATACAGTGAACAGATTGGGAATGAATAAATGAATGTTTACCTATCAAATCAGGTTAATACCAAGTGTTTTATGTAACAGATTTTTCTAAAAATAACACTACTGTTAATACTAATTAATTGTGCACAACAATAATTTGGTGAATGATTCAAATGTTCAGTTATTTCTTTGGTACCTGAGTATGATGTTTTGTTTTGTGGTGGCCACTCAAAGTCATCATCTAACCATTCTTTCACTAGCTCTTGCTTAATGTCTTTATTCCTGTAAGTCAAAGAAATGGAGTTATGGACAGGAAGACATAAAAACATAACACCGTACACAATACACATTTGGAAAATAAGCTGTTTTCATTAAACCTGAGAGATAGCATTATCGCAGATTTTTAGAGGGACTGTCAGAAAGTTTTGAATCGTCCACAGATTTCATGACAGGATTGTAGCCCTCATACATGTAAAAATACCGCTAAATAAACAAATGGAATTAGAAAATTCTCAAGCAAACTGCCCTTTCTGGACTTGAGAGTAACTGATGGATTGTTATTTTCAGGGCATTCGCGGAACAATGATCGTGCAATGATCTAATGTTCAAAAGTTTATCAGGACATTCTGCAGGCCATCTGTCCACCAATTGATGCTCAACAGACGTTGGGTGATGTTACAAGGCAACGACCCAAAGCACAGGAGTAAATGGCCAACTGAATGACTTCAGCAAAAATAAATAAAAAATGCCTTCTGGAGAGGCCCAGTTTGAACCTCATTGAAATGCCTTGTTATGACCTCAAGAGTGCGACTCATTATTCCAAAAATATTGCTGAACTAAACAGTTCTGAAGTTTCATGCAATAGCTTACCTTTTTACCGTCCGTTTGTTTATCACGAGATAAACTGTCAGGATTGCTATAGTTATTACTGCAATGGCTGCTACTATTCCCAATCCGGCATATAATCCAACCTTGTACACCTGGAAACTGCAGTCCTCTCCCAAGAACCACTTAGCATCAGTTTGGTGGCAACTAGAGCAAAGATGCATTATAAGTCCTTTTCAATTTTCATAAAGACATCTGTACATATTTTTTACTATTGCTTTGTAATTGCTTTTGTTTAGTTTAGATCATTCCAGTTCTTTAGACTGGTCTTGCACCAATCATTGGTCTTGATCACATGAAATATTTCATCCTGTCAGAAGGATTCAAACTTTTGATATTGCTTACACACCAATTTAAGTATATATTCATATTTCTATAATCAAACTAGCCATTTAGTTGATGCTTTTATTTAAAAAAAAAATACACTTAGGCTATGTCGGGGACAGACGTACAATCATTCCGTTTCCAGCCCATATCTTTAACCACCACTATATAGTTAAATAATACAATTGTGTGATGATAGTACGTACTAGCAGGTTGGACCTTGTTTAGCAACTGCACAGGTGCCGCTGTTCATACACGTTTTTGGTTGAGGATGATTGTTATTGCATGAAGTCACACATGTCACTTTGCCACCCGACATAACACCAACATAATACTTTTGGAAGTCTTCAGTAAGATTTTTTGTAGCCTCAGCACACAACTCTTTGGCTGTGGAAATAAAGAGTCAGTCAAAATAAATAATAAATACAATAAAAGTATAATTGCCTGATTTAATTAGAAAATCTATGCTACCGTATATATATATTTTTTTTTTGCTTCCCCAAATTAATTGTTGGTCTCTCTGTATAGACGAATCCGGCGAAACTACCGGAAGTAAGCGGGCGCCATTACTGAGCTGTTGCTGGGTAGCGTTGCGCCATTGCCTCCTATTGTTTTATTTGCAACTTGCGTCCACTGGAATAAACAGCCCGCGATTTACGACTGTCACTAACGTTACAACTTTTATAATGTCGAGTGGGAAAACATGTTGGCATTTTGAAAAATCATCGGATGCCAGGCGAAGGAGAAAATACTCTTGAATACCTTTAAAACAACAGAAGGGGCGCATTGGGGTAGTAACGTTAGTAACAGTAGCAGCTACTGTTATGTCTGTTGTTAATGTTTGATTTGCTTGACTGTGACAGATTTTTTTTTAAAATAAATTAAATTAAATATGCATTTTTTGTTATAATAACAATTATTTAATGACATAAGTAAAAAAATATATATAATGAATATGTAATATAGTGCTCAGCAAAATGTCCTCTCTAGCTATTTTTTCTATTCAATTAACATGCTATGGTCATTAAATGGCTTTCCTGAGCTAAATGTAACGTTATGTGACATAATTGTTCTCCTGCTGTTATATTGACCTCTTTCCATGGTTTAAAAACACTAATTGGTCGATATTATGTATACTTTCTAGCTGTACCTTACCCTTGCCTTTTGCAATGTGAAAATTAGATAAATAATGGACACAAATGAAAAACATGAATTCGTTTATTTGATGTCATTCATTTATTTATTGTTGCCAAATGGACAGATCTTTTTATAATTTCCTCGTTAGCTAACGTTAGCCTAGCTAGCTTGCCAAGCTATTTTCATAAATAATCTGTAAGATCGTTTGTACCTTCATCTGTGACTGGAGGCCACTGTCTAACATCATCAACCCAACAAGTCATTCTGCCTGGCTGTAGCTGTCACATAGAGCTGTCATCGAGGGTGCGTTATCACCACAGTCTATGGTTATCACGGAGGTTTGTTTACATACCGGTAACAGCTCAGTAATGGCGTCGCCACAAGATGGCAGCCTACACAGAACGCTCGTCGGATTCGTCTATAGCTTCTCTTCCAATTCTCTCCTTTATTCACTGAAACCTTTTAGAGCCTTTTTTTGACCTTTTCTAAGTAGTGTCTTGGTTCCCCTTCGTCAGATCACTACAACGTGAGTCAGAAGTGATTCTGACGAATGGGGATCGCTTGTGAGAGCCTATCTAATTCGAGTGAAATAACACGAGCCAATGCACATTGGCATGCGATAATTGCACCTGCTGCTGTGCATCGCGGCGCGAGCATATAACAAGCAGCAGGTGCGTTCGCATCTTTGTCTTTCGCTTCGGAGCCAGACAGTGAATGCTGTTCCTGTCTCCTGCAAGATTTCTACACGGTGTTTGTCGAGTCTCTGCGAGGAAGCCTCTGTGTGTGGTGTTGGTGTGACGGCGCGAACAGCGGTGGTCGTGATCTCTCCGTCTCAACAGTTGAGAGCGAAAACAGCTGTTTTCACAGCTTTGTTGGTTCGGTGGGCGTGACACTGAGAGTGAGTGCTCACACAGGATTGCATTATTCCCCTGTGTGTAGCCGCGGCTATCCCCCTGTGCGTTTCAGCACCTCAGAGCACTTCTAAAAGAGCTAACACGATCTGTCTGCGTCTTTTTCAAGATGTCATTCAGATCGTGTGTTTCTGGATGCGGTCAATGTTTGACACTGGCTGATGGGCATGATCGCTGTATCACGTGCTTGGGCTATAGGCACGCTGAAATGGCGCTCATGGATAACAAATCTGAGCCCGACAAAGTGTGGTTCCTCAACATGGTCTGTGGTCCCGTTGGTCCCGCTTGCGCGGTGTCTGGGAGCCTGGCTAGCGCTTCCCAGCCCGTCTTGCTGGCTCATCCGTACCATCAGGCTCGGCTATGCGATTCAGTTCGCCCGGCACCCTCCCAGGTTCAGGGGTATCCACTTCACCTCTGTGCGGAGTTCCGATGCCCCTGTCTGGCGGGCAGAGATCGATGTCCTACCGGCGAAGGACGCAATCGAGCTGGTTCCTCCAGCCGATATGAGGACAGGGTTCTACAGCCCCTACTTCATTGTACCCAAGAAAGGCGGTGGGTTACGGCCAATCTTGGACCTGCGAACCTTGTTGAATCGGGCCCTGCACAAGCTCCTGTTCAAGATGCTCACGCAGAAACGCATTTTCGAGTGCATCCGTCCCCAAGATTGGTTTGCAGCGATAGACCTGAAGGACGCGTACTTTCATGTCTCGATTCTTCCTCGACACAGACCGTTCCTGCGGTTTGCGTTCGAGGGACGGGCATATCAGTACAAAGTCCTGCCCTTCGGGCTGTCCCTGTCGCCCCGCGTCTTCACGAAAGTCGCAGAGGCAGCCATTGTTCCACTCCGAGAACGCGGCGTTCGTATTCTCAACTATCTCGACGACTGTCTGATTCTGGCTCAGTCTCGGGATCAGTTGTGTGAACACAGGGAGATGGTGCTCCGTCACCTCAGCCTGTTGGGCCTTCGGGTCAACTGGGACAAGAGCAAACTCTCCCCTGTGCAGAGGATCTATTATCTCGGTATGGAGTTGGACTCGGTCAACCAGACAGCGCGACTCACAGAGGAGTGTGTCCGGTCAGTGTTGAACTGCTTGAGTACAATCAAGAGCAGGACAGCAGTCCCACTGAAACTTTTTTTCGCCGCAGTAACGCCGCTCGGATTGCTTCATATGAGACCGCTTCAGCACTGGCTTCACGGCCGAGTCCCGAGATGGGCGTGGCAGAGTGGCACGTACCGGGTGCACGTCAGCCCGCACTGCCTCCAAACCTTCAGCCGGTGGTCGGACCCTTCGTTTCTACGGGCAGGCGTTCCCCTAGAACAAGTGTCCAGGCATGCTGTGGTCTTCACAGATGCCTCTGCCATCGGCTGGGGGGCCACGTACAACAGGCATGCAGTTTCAGGTCTGTGGACGGGGCCTCAACTGCATTGGCACATCAATAGCCTTGAGTTGCTTACAGTACGCCTTGCACTGGGCCGCCTCAAAGGGCCGCTACGTGGCAAGCACGTTCTGGTCCGTACAGACAACACTGCGACCGTTGCGTACATCAACCGCCAAGGTGATCTACGCTCCCGCCGCATGTCGCAACTCGCCCGCCATCTCCTCCTATGGACTCAGAAGCATATGAGGTCGCTTCGTGCCATTCACATCCCTGGCGTGCTCAATCGTGCAGCCGATGAGAGTGGCGTCTCCATCCCCAGGCGGTCCAGCTGATATGGGACTTCTTCGGAGCCGCACAGATAGATCTGTTTGCCTCTCCGGACTCGACCCATTGCCAGTTGTTTTACTCCCTGACCGACGGAACCCTCGGCACGGATGCACTGGCACACAGCTGGCCCCGGGGCCTGCGCAAGTATGTGTTTCCCCCAGTGAGCCTTCTCGCACAGACACTGTGCAAGGTCAGGGAGGACGAGGAGCAGGTCTTGTTAGTTGCGCCGTATTGGCCCAACCGGACCTGGTTCCCAGAACTCATGCTCCTCACAACAGCACCTCCTTGGCCCATTCCTCTGAGGAAGGACCTACTTTCTCAGAGACGGGCACTCTATGGCTCTATGGAGGTTCTAGGTGACCTATCCCCAACCGGTGGTAGAGACCATCACTTCTGCTAGAACCCCCTCAACGAGGCGCCTCTATGCTCTGAAGTGGAACCTGCAGTGTTGGGAAAGTTCACTTTCTACATGAACTAGTTCAAAGTTCAGTTCACACATTTTAAAATGAACTAGTTCAGTTCATAGTTCATACTTCAAAATTTTTAACTAAGTTCACAGTTCCAAAAAATGAACTAGTTCATAGTTCTTTTTTCCATATGTTGCTGCGAGCTATTTATTTTGTTTTAAATTATTGCCACAGCCCATACAACCACAGACAGCAATTATTTTATCGGCGGGCAAAGTTTGCACAGAAATGTAAGATTTTTCCCATCCTCACCGACCTTGTCATAAAACTCGTTTAAATGATCATACGACGCCTCCTCGATGCTTTGTCGACCTCATGCTGCTTTTTGTTTTGATGACGCATGCGGCGGCCGCGGTGCGACACTGGTGGCTTGTGTTGCCAGATTGGGTGTTTTTTTCGCTACATATTAAGGCCTGTTTATGGTGTGTTTTAGCTGGGTTTTCATCTAGAAGGCTCTATAGAAATCTGGCACCCGATTGAACGAAGTTACTAAGAGAGCGTGCGTTCACAGACACCAGAATGAACGAGTTCACAGTATCGTTCATCAGGCAGTAATATAGTACGTTCAGTTCACGTTCGCCCAAAATATGAACGAGTTCATGAAGTTCAATGAACGCGTTCAGGCACAACACTGGGAACCTGTTTGTTGAATGGTGTTCTTCCCACCGGGAAGACCACCGAAGATGTCCGATCAGAGTTGTGCTTTCTTTCCTGCAAGGTGGGTTGGAGCGAAGGCTGTCTCCCTCCCCCTCAAAGTGTATGTTGCCGCTATTGCCGCACATCACGATGCAGTTGAAGGTAAGTCATTGGGAAAGCATGACCTGATCGTCAGGTTCCTGAGGGGAGTGAGGAGACTGAATCCGCCTCGCCCCCCCCTCTATACCCTCTTGGGACCTGTCTCTGGTGCTCAGCGCACTGCAGAGACCTCCCTTTGAACCATTGCACTCAGCTGAGTTAAAGATCTTGTCACTAAAGACAGTGCTCCTGACCGCTCTGGCTTCCATCAAGAGGGTAGGGGACCTGCAAGCATTTTCGGTCAATGCATCGTGCCTAGAATTCGGGCCGGCCAACTCTCACGTTGTCCTGAGACCCCGGCTCGGATATGTGCCCAAGATTCCTACCACTCCCTTTAGGGACCAGGTAGTGAGCCTGCAAGCGCTGCCTT